TGTAAAAGAACCACAAGTATTAATCAAGGAGAAGATGTGTTAAATGACAGCACTTACAGCATTCTTATATATAGTCATAATCAGAAATAACAATGTTTTTTAATGTATTTTTATAGTGGATGCAGATTCTCACAGCTCTCCTGGAGACAAAATAGAAGAGCAGACTGTTTGCACTTCCTTGGATCTTCCTGCAACTCATCCATCATTTTTTAATTGTGTGCTCTATGGTTTACCCCACATGATTCTGATGTAATTTGTGTCAATCTTTTCATGCTGGGAATACCTACACTGATCTAAGGAGAGGTGAGATTAAGAAGATATTCACATTGTTGGTTTCTGTTTCAGATGTTAACAGTTTGATATCAGAGTTAGTGTCAGGAAAATAGAATATATAGTTCAGAAATTTCAGTTAGTACTCTAAGGGTTTTTTAACTTGGTGAATCCTTTAAAAATATGGTAAGTACCAACATATGTTAAAGAAAAGTGGGCTAGTATTTTTCAGCCTTGATGCATGAATGAAATTGGAATGTATCAATGTCAGTGCTTCCATTTGAAAAAATGTTTCCATGATGTATTTTATTTTCACATGGATGATTCACTAGGAAGATAGTTAAAAGATTTACCAAGCGACCTTATGCTGAATGAACTCATTGTTTTATATGGAAGTACTTGTAGTTTAATTAGAAAACAAGTTAGTGATAAATAAAATGGTTAATAATTTTTGCTTTCTTCGTTTTCCTGTGGTTTTCCTTAATAACATTCCCAACATAATTCCTTCCCAATATCCCACCCATCCCTTCCCTCTGGCACTGGGAGCCATTCCCTGGCTCCTGTCCCTCCATCCCTTGTCCCCAGTCCCTCTCCAGCTCTCCTGGAGCCCCTTCAGGCCCTGGCAGGGGCTCTGAGCTCTCCCTGGAGCTTCTCCTGTCCAGGTGAGCTCCCCCAGGTGTCCCAGCCTGGCTCCAGGGCAGAGGGGCTCCAGCCCTCAGAACAGCTCTGTGGCCTTTTCTGGATTTGCTCTTATACTGGGGACTCTTGAACTAGGTGCAGTACTCCATCTGGACTTTCACAAGGGTAAGAAATTATTTTTATTATATTAAGTAATAGTTTTAGCGAAATAAAAAGATTAAATTAAAATATTTTAAAATGAAAAATACTTATCTGATTTTTATGTGTATTCTAAAGTATTCATTTATTTGACTATGTGCTCTCAATTTTTATTATATTCAGCAGCCTGGAGGAAAAAAATCCTACCAGCTAATGACCCAGAAATGAATTACAGTAGATACACCTTAGGACATATGAGCTCTCTCATCAAATGACATTGGCACAAGCCCAAACAACAAGAATAAGAGCTTCTGAAAATATTTCATCTACGTGGCACTACATCATTCCCATGCACTGTATTCATTCATACAAGAAATATTAAGCAGTTAGTGCTATTCCATGTATCAAGGGCTTTAAAATAACTTTCTGAATTATGTCTCAGCAACATAACAAATCACACTATCAATTAGCTTTTATAACAGAAATGACGTTTCATAATATATTTTAGCATGAAAAGAATTGGTCAGCTAAAATTTATGTAATCTGAAAAATGTGGGGAGGGAAAAAATCATGGTGAATTTATTGTTGATATTCTAGGACAAGAACATAATTTGAGTTGTACATAGCTGTCCAAGAAAAGTGTGAGGTTTTAAATGGTCTGCAGTAAAGAGCTGCAGCAAATTTGCTACAAAATTATAAAACAAACAACAAAAAAAAGAGAAGCTCTGTCATTAGTCCCTGGTGTAACCTCTTTAAAATTAGACTGCCTTAAGCAGTCATTCAAGGATTTCAGGTCACATGTGCGTCTCTCTCTCCAGAGCTGCCATGGCTGTTCCTGTCAGCACGGCTGTGGTCCCTGCTGTGCAAAGGGTTGTGGTGGAGCAGATCCCAAAATGGAGCAGCTGCTGCTGTAGGTGTTTGCAGGCAGGGAAATTAGAGCAGAGTTGAGCATGGTGTATGGATCATCCCCAGAATTATTTAATTATTTAAGACCATCCTTCTTGAGTATGAACACTAATTTAGTTCTAGTTTAGTGATTTTACAACCTTCTAAGCCTTCCAACCTGTGCTTTGGCACCGTCTGACCTGGAAGCTCTCCTGAAATAGGGTATCAGAGGGAATTCAACCATCCCATATGAGTGTAAATCCTCTCTTCTCTTGTGTGTGGATGAAAGACCAGCTCATCACTGTAGAGTCACCAGGATGAACTTCTTAAAGTCCCCCTTGGGTATTAATTAATTTATTCATTAATTCCAAATGTAGTGTCTTCATGTAGATACAATGACAGATAGTTATCAACATGGGTTTTAAGGAAGTGATCGAGTTTAAACTGAAGGCATGCTTGTGTGCCCTGAAATATTTACTGGTCAGTGGAAGACCCAGATTGGTACTCAGGTGATAAATTGATGGAATACTTCTCAGCCAGTGATAGAAGAGTGCATGGGGTCTTTCATGAACATGGTAGCGACATTTTCAAAAGTAGCAGGCACAGTAGTCTTCATTTCAGAATAAGAAGAAACGTATTTAATATAGAGTAGTTTTCCAGATGGCTACTTAAGACTTACTTAAGAGGAACAATTTTAGATCACTTAATCCCATTTCTATAATGGGATTTAAATGCAGTATGGAATGTTAACAATATTGCTGGTGTATAAAATACCAATTATAATATTCCCTGAAATATGAATCTTGATACCTATGTATGTATACTTAAAATATATTAAACATTGTAATAGTCCATGCAATAGTCCATCTATGAAGAAATTTTTTCTTCCTCTGTCAAAAGAGAGCATGAAGTTAGTGCTGAGTTCAAACAGCTGAAGCCAACAAAATAGTGACCCCTTTCAGAAGTAAAGGCCAGTATTTTGGACTGGGAAGGTACAAGAATTTAAAAGGGTGTTTTGTGACAGTGTCCATTACTATGGGAAATTTAGGAAGATACTTCATTGTCACTGAATAACTACTGTGGTTTCTTTTCCCTTTGTTTCATATAATGCTTCATTCTCACACATGATGGCAGAAGAGGGTGAAAACTGTCAAGATTAAACTGAAAGTGAGTCAGTCCTGAGCTTGAGTACATGTCCTTTCCAGTAACTGAATGTCCACAACTTGTCACTTTCCTTGATGGTCTCATTCTTGACATTTAGCATTTGAAATTGTTAGGAAAACTAGATGTTTACAAAGATGTACAGAAACGTTTTCCAGAAATCAGGGCTGCACTAATTGAGGATTTGTGTTTATTTCCTGAAAAGGCATCTAAAAATATGTTTATAATTTTCTGGCTCTTTTGATGACTTAATTTTCTTAAAGAAAGTGAAGTTAAAGTCATAAGTTTCTTAGCAAGGTGGATGGTTAAGACTTCTGGTTTTTACAGGCCTACTATAACGATAATCAACAATTCCACGATTCCAAGAGCTGACATAACTTTTCTGTGCTATAAGTACACTGAGATAAGATACAGATAATAATACTGAAGTAAACTGAATCATGTTCATTTTTGTCTAAAATCCTTTTTAATTTTCAGTTGGTTATTTCTTAACTTTGCCCGAGCATTTCAATTGTGAAAGAAGTCAATGCATTGCAGGGAGAGGTCCAGAAAGCAAAGAAAAAACACAAAACAAACCTGAGTTTTTCAAAAGTGCAGATGGTAATTTCCCTTGACAATCATAAACTGTACTGGCTTCTGTGTGAAAATACTATGTATTACAAATATTTTATTATCTGACTGGTTACTGGGTAGTAGATCAAATTTATATTGTGGCAACAGTGTCCACACTGCTCTTCTATGTCTTCTTTTTGATGCCAAAGTTTTAAGAAACAGATCAGTGCTCCCAATTTGTTTTGATTAGAACAATGACATCATGATTCTAATCCGTCAGTAAAGGTGAGCAGTTTCATATTGTAGAACAGAAGTGTTCATTTGGAAAACTGTGGGCAATGGCTTGGAGAACAACCTCTGAAGTACAAAGTGAGTTTGATGAGAGAATAGTGACAGTAGAATTATACTGTAGACCTGTAATCTGCAATATCCTGGAAGAGGAATGTAGGGAAAAAAGTTTGTGATGTAAACATTTAATCTGCTCAAAGCAGACATCTTGCCCTTCATTCTGGTACTAATGAGTTTGTCTGCTGGGGTTCTCAGCATTGTAGAAGCATCCAGAACAGTCTGTTCTCCCACTGATGTGTATTAATTACCTGTCAATACACCATGGAGAGAATTAACTAAGATTTCCTGATGGAAAATAAGAATGGGTTTCAGAAATATTTGCAGTTCTGTCATGTCCTCAGAATTATCTGAGCTTGTAACTCTTGAAGTTGGTTACAGAATAGAAACTGAGTATGGAATATGCTGCAGCTGAGGTATGTGGATGACCACCTGTACTTTGGTTAATCCTGACAGTGAGGCAGCAGCTAAATTGCATAGATCACTATGCATGGTTACAACATAGAATTCCTACCTTGTCATTCTGTATCTGAGCCTCTCTGGGCTGTTATTATTTTTTTTTTATGATCAGCAAGTAATCCTGGCACTGTGACT